ATAGTGGTCTGAATGCTCTTCCTACATATATAACGTCTCTTTATGGCATGCCAATGAGAATTGATGCACTGAGGAGGAATTTCATTTGGCAAGGTAATAAGGAGTAGAGATGCTACCGTAGATAGTCACTCACATGCAGTAAGAAGGAAGGGGGCTAGGGAATTAGAAACCTGAGAAAGCACAACAGGACTCTATTGATTTAATGGGATTCCCTTTGAAGACCAAGCTTTGTGGAGAAAGGTGATAAATGACAAAAAGGGGACAGAAGGGCAGTGGTGCACAAGATCTGTTACCAATTCTTATGGAGTGAGTGTATGGAAATCAATTAGAACCCTTTGTCAAGATTTTGCAAGTAACATCAGCATTAAAGTTGGAAATGGCTTGAAGACTTCCTTTTGGAATGATGACTTGATTGGGAATGGCCCTCTCAAAGAGATCTTTCCAGATATTTTCAGCTTAGTACAACAACCTGATGCAACTTTAGCTGAAATTTGGAGTCAACAGAGCTGGGATCTCACCTTTAGAGATATCTGAGTGACTGGAAAGTGCGCAGGTGACTGAATTCTTCAGTCTTCTACAGATTTTAAGGGGAACTGCTGAACAAGAGGACAAGCTAGTGTGGGTTAGAACAACAAAGGAACTTTTTCAGAGAAATTGTGGTAGACGGGTATAAATTGTGGTACTCAAGACGCGTTGGGGACAAGAATAGGGAAGGTATTTTAGTTGACAGGGAACTCAGGGAGTTAGTGGTCGAGGTTAGGAGGGTAAACGATAGGTTGATGAGTATTAAGCTTGTAGTTGGAGGGTTTACTGTAAACGTGGTTAGCGCGTACGGCCCCAGGTAGGATTGGACCAGGAGGTCAAGAGGCAATTTTGGGAGGATTTGGAAGCAGATATTTGAAAATGTATTCATTGGTACATTGGAGCAAAACCACTGTATACAAGTGGTTTCCGGATTCATTGATGATTGGATGTGATTAGGGCAGAACCACGTGTTGATATTCCAATACTAAGCCATGCAATACAAGGAACATTAAGGAGTGCGACAAGCTAAGAAGCACCTCTTATGAGAAGCATTACTTCCTATATCTTGCACATAAATAAGAGGAAGTAAAGCTTAGTGGAGATATTTATCTCTGTACGAACTCAAAAAATAGAGGGGGAAAAAACATGTGGCAATGTCGTCAAAAGCCGAAACAAAAAAACTACATATACGCAGCTGCATGCTTTACCCAATAGTTGCACTTAACTTTCAAATGATAGCACGTCACTTTTCCTTTTTCCAGTCCATGTTAGCACTGCTCAATACTAATAGAGGGGATACTGCGCCAAGCATCATGCTGCTTTTCTTTGTTGTGGAGCACAAATTCTATACCATCCGAGTATTATTGAGCTTTCTGGAGAATAATATTTTTGTATAGCTCAGTTCTAGCGTGTACTTACATGTCTTGGGGATTTTATCCCTTTTTTGTTACTGCAATATCATTTGTAATTATGGAGATGAGAATATCAATAAACCAGACATGCTTTCTTCCCCAAAAGCTGTTTGAAAATGTAATACAACAGCTTAGCACACCATTCTATTCGCATAAAGATTCTTTCATTCTCCATAAACAAGATTTAAACAGCTCGGGTAATCATGAAAATACATCGAGTGCTTTGGCTTAAACAATCTCAGATTCCGCTTTGAGTTGTTGCAATCAAAACTTCCATTGAGAAAGATGAAGGTCAAGGGAAGGAATATTGTACAAATCTTAGATATTAATTAGAAAAGTGAAAGATAGACAAATAGCAAAGCAATGTAACTATTGTAAATAGGCTGACATCTAGTTCTCAATCCTTCTTTCATGAATGAAATATTCTTCATCATAAAAAATGGAAAAGGGAAACATAACAAAAACAAAGTAAATGTCTTAATTCAAAGAGTGAAAATGAAATAGTTCAAGATAAAATTATTGAGCTCCTCAACGAACAGATATTAACTAAAAAATACACGAGGCGAATGGTGACATCTTACTTCTCTCTCAATTGACATGTCAGCAAATAGTCACAAATGCTCAAGATTTGTTGTATTTGAATCTCATCCAGAGAAACATCCTAATGTGCAATGAAAAAGGAGATCAACAACTATGTTACTGTGATACTGAATTACAAATGAAATTCTTTAAAATGATAGGAAATATCCTGTACAAACCATATTATTCAACTCTATACTTAAGAAGTATTGCGGAACATCTTTCTCAAGCCTTCCTGAACGGTTCACCTATATCAGAATTGGTGACAGCTCATTAGAAAACATAAATAAAAGAAGCATAAAGTTTACAAACAGAACAACACATTGATTTGACCTTGTAATATAAATAAGTGTGTATGAGCCCATTAAAAGGGCCGGCTAACTCTTCCAAAATCCAATACAGATCTAAGTCAAAGGCAAATTTCCCAAGTGGAAAATAAAACTAAAACTAAATAGGAAATTTTGAAATAACCATATAGAGCACACGATCATGTTGAACCGTTGGTTTTACTTTTTAGTAGGAAAAGGGGGGGGGGGG